GTGAATGTGAAGAAGCGGTGGAGTGAAATTGCCAGAGAAGAACGGAACTCGTAGAAAAACCTGGACCAGTGTCTTTCAGGCCGCCACGGGGAGCAGCCGGTCTGAGCTGTGGCACGACACATAAGCACTTGTTGCTCGTCGTAATGTACACGATACGTTCATGCTCAATTGTAAAGCAGTTTTTCAGCAAATGCATGAATAAGTCATCATAGTAATGACCTTTAGTAACATAAACAGTTTCATTACAACACAGCTTATAATTGGAATGCTACTTTAAACTGTAACTACAGTTGCATGCATTACTAATTAAGACATTTATTGTCCATACTCAATAATATCAATTACAGCAAACACATCATTTTCAAATAACCACAAAGTCATTCAGTTATCAAGAAAATCCTGAGTTAACGCAAACAGAAAATGTTCACAATATCCTTATCCATTTTCATCTAGTCCACACCCCCACTTTACGTATCTTCCTTTCAACATTAACTTTCCACACTAGCTTTCGCCTCCAGAAAGCCAGTAATCTCGATAACATAAGACGAGTAGTAAATCATATTCCTCCTTCCTCCCAATCCAAATACTGAATTCTCCTCAACACGCAGTTCGTAAACGTCCTCCACCTGTGTCCTTACCTTATGGTTCTCAGCGTAGATCGAGCATTTTGAATGGCGGAACGAACACCCTTAAACATCACACCGTCGTTAAATACCTTAATCAGTCGATAGACATTTCAATGAATCTGAGGAAAACGTGTTGACTTTTCCACTGCTTACATCATCCATTTTGACGTTCGTTTAATGCAGATACGAATTTACTGAACAATCTGTCGCACTGCATATATGATACTGCGTAATCAGACTTTTCGGTGGACGTGGTTATATATTCACAATAAAATATTTCATACATTACTTGTAAATGACGATGAAATCAGTACTTAATATTACGTCTTGTAACACATGAATAAAGTTTAATTCCAGCTTCAATATGAAGTGAAAAATCGCCCGACAATTTTGGTTTAGACCCCTCAGTGTAAAATTCCACTGACATCTATGCAAGCGTAAAATGATTGGTAAAAATTACTTACCTCCATCATCCATTCTGCAACTATTCTTCTCATTTGTGGAGTTAGGTCTTTCTGAACACACTCGAAATACGAACTGGAGGGGCAATATCTCTCTTCCCTGTCCAGCAAGTTCTGTAAGACGCGTTCATCGTTCAATAAAACAGGATCAGGATACGCGCGACATTCACATTCAGTTTCGCAACACAGAAGGTCCATTATACCGCTATAATTAAAACGGTCTGCTAAACCTTATTAAAATCACACCTAAAATGTATTTATTCTACGATTTGGTTACTTGAAATGAAACACTGTTAAATTGTAGAGGATGTGTAGGACATTGGTTTCTAATACGAATATTTTGCGTTACGCTTTGAAGATGGATGTCAGCTGATCGTATGACTCAAATAGTCGTCTCAACGTTAAGCGCCAACCGCAACACGTCCGTACCTGGCACTCTACCAGGCCAGAATATTTTGTGCTACTGACTCAGCGATTGAAAGAGATTCCCCAACGGGTGCCTCTGCAATCTCAGTTCCCCGACTGGCCAATGAGAACGCGTGTGATGAATGGCTGAAGTAGGGATGTATGTCTTGCTGCAGAGGCAGATTTTTCCGTGCGAGAGTTTGCTCTTAAGCACTACGCCTTCTTTTCAATGTGAAAATACCAACTTGTTACATGCTCTTTGTTCAGGAGTTCATAGTAAAAACGCTGGTAAAGATATTCACTCACGAAGGATTTGAGGTTTTGAACGGCGGTGAGTCTGAAGATGGCCGGCCGTGTGGTCTGGTAGAAGTGTATCAGCGTCTCAGAGGTCCTTGCTGCCTCCATCATCAGGACAGGGCGATCGCCCAGATGATGGAGACAGCAAGGACCTCTGAAACGTCGGTAAACTACCATACCAGACGGCGCAACAACCCAGAAGACAGACGTCTTCCTTTTCACTCCATCGATTTGGATGTCCGGGCCTTTCCTAATCCAAAGATTGATGTTCATTACCGTACTCACAAAAGCACTATCGCTATTCTGTGCCAGATGAGTCGAGTCTGAACCCTCATGCTACATCTCTCTGAGATTTACTGCACATCTAAACTTTCCCAAAGTGTTTCAATCCAAAATACACAGAGTGAGCACGAAAGAATTTTGTACTTTCAAAATGATAGAATAACTCTCTAAATTTTGACTCTCGGGGCACATATCAAAGTGTCCTTCTATCGAATGGTAGTGTAAAGTTCTAAATAAAGTTATTCTGTGCTCGTTATGTATTTTCTGTGTATTTTCTCATCTCTCGTGTGTGCTCATTTCCTTTTCCTTGATTTAAACTCCCCAATAATGTTAGCTGAAGTATACAAACTGCGATCTTTTCATAATATAACTTTCGCGATCCTCTTTTATTACTGCCTGTCTCTTAGGAACTGAAGTTTATCGTCACAAAATATCGCACGTACAAGAACATAACTCAAATTGCAGTAGACGATATCGATTGTGGTCTTCTAGGTTGAAATTCCGTGTGGATTTGTAGCTTAACAGCCTTAGTTTCGCTAAATTCAGACCTACACAGGAAATAGTAATCGAAGTAAAGAATTTTAAGATTAGTTAACATTGGAATGCATTATTAAACAAATCAAAAGTAACTACACTTTGCAATAAAATAGTCTGAAGGAATTGTAATGTCCACAACATTCGGTGTATGCAATCTCTGCGGGTGAAACAGCGTCGTTGACATTGCTACCAACATAATATATTTAGAGAAGGAATTTATGCAGATATAAACGTCAATAAGACAGTATAATCTGAGGCTATCACCGCGGTGAGTCTGTTACGCCCTGATGATGGACGCAGCAGGGACCTCTGAAACGTCGGTAAACTTCTAGAAATAAATCTGTGACGGAGAAGCACGGAAGATGAAGGAAAATGGGAGGAAGAGAATGAGATGAAAGTAAACTGAAGAAGAGAATAGGAGTAGGAGGATGATGGGGAATAGCGTGGTAGAATGACACTCTGAAGGGCTTTGCTGCTTTTCTCAGCGCTGCGGTAGGGCAAACGTAGAAACGGAGCCTTCCTTTGTCCTACCCGAGGCCAAGACGCCTAATGCCTAGGCCCCTGCATCAGAATAATTTGCTTTTCTTACAGGGGTACCTCATGACCATGGTCGCAGTTGTTTTTCAGTGACTGGCTGTGGATTTCGATTCCCAACACAAACGTCTCTCCTCACCACGGCTGAGGCAGTGACGCGCAACCGGTGCGCCGCGGAGGCCATCTAGGTGTGCCGCGAAATTTTCACCTCATATTATAATTATAACCATAATTAGATAAATAATTCTTACTCTTGTTTTCTGCTCTGTCTCAGTTTTCATTCTTTTTTCATTGTGATCGAGTAGACTGAGGACAGACAAGATCTAATAAATGGAATTCGAAAACAACAAAATATGCGGACCTCCCCTTTTTTATGGCCATGCAATCTTCATGTATAAATATAAATCAGAATCAAGTTTAAATGTTTACACATAGTTAATAAATTTTGGATCAAACGGTAGGAAATATATTTTAATTTGTTTCAAATAATGAATATATTTAAAATAAATAACATAATAATAAATATGGATAATTATAAACATTAAATAGAACATACTTCGGTTGGGGTCGATTTATAAGAAGTTGTCGTGGCCAATCAATGCCATAAACCATCTACCCCCCCCCCTCGACGATATGCAAAATGGGGTTGCTGTGCCGCCATGACTCTTCGACAATATTTAGTGTGTGGCAACACTGGGTTGAGGGCTCAATATGCCTCGCAGTTAATGGGTAGTGGGGGCACTTCACCGGATTAAAACCGGCCACGGTATACAAGTAACCATTTCCCTCTATGTAGAGCCCAAGTTACGACTCAGTGGAGCTTTTTCTCCAAGTCAGTGTTCCGCGGATTTTTGTAAGGAATTGTGTATTCGCGCTAGCAATTCTAATTTGTGAGATTTGAGGTTTTCACGGCGGTGAGTTTGAAGATGGCCGTCTTCTGGGTTGTTGCGCCGTGCTTATCGCCCTGATGATGGAGGCAGCAAGGACCTCTGTAAAACGTCGGTAAACTTCTACCAGACTACAAGGCGCAACGACCCAGAAGACAGCCATCTTCTAATTTTTATTTTTAAATATATATGTATTTATTTATATGTATGTATCCACACACACACATTGGCTCATCATAGATAGTTATCTGCCTGCGTCCATATGGTGTAGGTATTTATACGCAGATACATATTTATGGTTATGAATAATTTGATACCCCCTCTTCGTGGCGTGTTAGAATGTGGCTTTGGCAAGTCAGGGTGTGTCGGGGGTCGAAAAAGGCTGCTGTACTCTTATGTGTTCTGGTGTTTGTTTAGTGGGGCGCAGGGTTGGGACCTAAAACTAACAAAGTTTCTCGTATGCTATCCGAATCTACATACATAACATTTGGCAGCAATCTGACTACAAGATCAAGGTCATTGCCATGTTCTTTGCACATCTGCGCTTATGTTACGTCTCTTGTTCAGCGTTGCTTATTTTCCTACTAAATTTCAAGTTACCATCGTTTAGGTTTCAGTTTGTTGCGTTTCTTTCGTTTTATCATTTCCTTCGCCCCTCCTTCGTGCCTTCGTCCTCCATCATTTCCCCTTTTGCCTTTCCACCAGTTGATCAGCCTCTTCTTTGTGCTAAAATATTGGCCTCCTCCACTGAAGTCAAGGTGAAGTTGTCCCTGGACCTAAGAAATACTTTTAAAGCGTATGTGTGACGTGCAGGTAAATGTCCGTGTGTTTTTAACTCATTACGTGGAGGTGATGATGACGTACGTCTCGTCAAAATCTGCGACATTTTTCGATATATATAACGAAGTGAAGCAGAAGAATTATTTTCCACTGTGCAGTGCGGTATCTGTAACGCTTTTGTAAGGCCAGTGAGATCAGAAAAGTCGTAAACGAGTCTTAAAAACTAAAGTAGGTACTCGAGATCGGAGCAGGCCTACAACTTTACTCTCTTGTTCAGCTTCTTGGCAACGAGAGCCATTGTGGTGGTATTATCTGCGATACTTGTGGTTAATTTAGTGTGAACTGGAAAACATTCATGCAGGGGAAATGGCCGTGATATAATAAGTTGTTATATTGTTTTCGTAAGCCGATATTACGACCGTATGAACGTGTATTATCAACTTCCGGGTACGCTGTGTACAGTACATTCTTCTCTCCTTAGAATCACGCGTAGTGAATTGTGTCGACCGATACGTGGTACCGGGACATGTAATTTCAACGGTGTTGAATATAATTACAATAATAATATTTTTACGTTTGCAGATTTGTTTGCGACTTATCGTTTGTAAGTGTTCTTTTTTTGAACACCCCTGTTCATCATCTTCGAAATAGATAAAACAATTGGGTTATCTTTCGAAGAGGAACTATTTTGTGTTTGTCATTTTATCTGCTACCTGTTGTTTGGGAGAAACGTCGCGCTTTGTACGATTTTAAACACCCTTTTGCGTGTCTAATTTTGGAAATTGGAAGAAATAGTAATGTCCTGGGGTTCTCTCTTCAAGAGGAACTTTTTTATTTGATAACTTACTGATGAATTCCATGATATCTCATGACGTAGCGTGTCAGACTCGTGCGTAAATGATCATGAGATCAAATCCTGGTCCATTCGAAATATCTTTAATGTTTGCAATTTTAAATGCGTTGCGATTGTTTTAGGAATAGTAGTAGTAGTAGTAGTAGTAGTAGTAGTAGTAGTAGTAGTAGTAGTAGTAGTAGTAGTAGTAGTAGTAGTAGTAGTAGTAGTAGTAGTAGTAGTAGTAGTAGTAGTAGTAGTATCATTAAGCTTGTTCAAGATGTAGAAAGAACTTACTACTGTCTTGGCTACCGGTACCTTAAATTTGTCGGGCATAACCTCAAAGTTCCGCATTGTCGTCAAGATTTTAATTGTTTACTTGTAAACAATATTTCATGCAGAATTTGTAGTTGCGACCAAACCGAAAATTGAATATATGTTTATGCATCCTTCATGTTGTTGTACAGTCGTAAAAAAATCTGAAAGTTCTACATGTTTAAAATATATGTTATCATACAGAACTCTAAAAGTGCTGCTAGTGTCGTTCCCAGCTCATGATTTCGGGCATCCGCCATGTTGTTATATCAAATTGTAGGAAGTTAAAAGTATGAGTTTCGGATAGCCTCTTATGGCTTCATGTTTATATAAAATTTTATCAAATTCTATCCAGCGGTTTTCGAAGTGGGATATGCGGTTACAGCACTGTGTAGTCTGGTAGACGTTTGCCCACGTTTCAGAGGACTTTGTTCTCTGCATCGCCCTGACGATGGAGGCAGCAAGGAAATCTGAAAACTCTTGGTTAACTTCTAACAGATTACCTGGCGCCACAACCCAGAAGACAGCCACCATTGTAACATATCTGTACTTGAACGATAACTTTTACATTCGTATCTACATAGATGAAGAGACTCCACT